GAGCTAATGAGATTTCCTTGTCTCGTTTCATATGTGTCATTGTCTGATGGGAAAGTGTATAAATATAGCAGGAATTCAAAATATGGAAAACATCAATGTGGTCTGGAATTATACTGGAAAGCTTCCTAGAGAGATGGGTCCTGACTTGGGGACTAATGAGTGTGGAATGGCACAGAGGCAAGCTGCCTAAGGTGGGCAGCCAGATGTATATGAAGTCAGAAAACCAAGAAGATCTTTTTTATCTGTGGCTTTAAATATGTGTATATCTTTATACTATGTTTTATATTTTTAATTTATAGTAAGAATATGATGAAGATTAATCATTACTTTCTTAGCACTTTTTAAAGAACATTTAACATTCTATGTGAACCTTAAGTTGCTTTCAACTCTTGCAGAGTGTCTCCTAGTATGCATCCATTATGTTTTTTAACCATTTCATAATACATATTAAAATCTAATTCCCTAAAACTATACACACAGATAAACAATCAACTGAAATAAAATTTTGTATGTGAGTCTTTATGGATCTGACTGATAAATCCTCTTTGATGTCCTAAAGTTGGATTGCTTGGAATTAGAGCCTATGTGAGCGTAATTTAAAGCAAAACAAACAATAAAACATTGCAATACTGCTTTCAAACCAACAATGCAATAGAGTTAGTTAAAACTGCTTGTAGGATGGGGGATTTAGCTCAGTGGTTCCAGCGCCTGCCTCACAACCGCAAGGTCCCAAGTTCGATCCCCAGTACCAAAAACAAAGAAACAACTGCTCGTGGGATGGTTTGGCTTTAGAAAACATATTAAGTAAAAGATATATTAAAGATGTAAGTTTTTAAAAATCATTTGACTATCTGAATGAACCAGGAAAAGCTTTTGACAGTAATTTAATTTCTATTAATGAGAAAAGCACTGATTTTTAGAATCTAAACAGAAGGCATTATATCAAGCAAATATATTCAAATTTTAAAAGCAAATATCATATATTCACGTAAATATATAATTAGATACCATATATTCAATCAAACATGGTAAAATGTTGAAACTAACATTGGGAACCAGACAAGCCCCAAAAGGCCACTTCTCATCATCTTTGTTCTAGGTGCACATTGATTTAAAACCATTACTAAAATACAGCACTTGTATTTCTATATCAGCCACAATAATTTGGATAATTCAATTAAAATACTATCTATAACAAATATACTACACACACACAGATACACAGATAACTATCTCAATGAATCATAAAAAGACTTGGACAATTTTTCAACTTTCTTTGATGAGAAAAACACTTAGCAAATTGTTTGCTGAAAACTTCCTCGATCTAATAGAAGGCACAATATGTATAATATATACACACTGTGTGTAGCATATATTTGTAAGTATATATAATTTATGCTGGCAAAAATAGCAGATTAATTTGTAACTTCCTTTTAGGAACACTAGAAAAGCTGAATAATTTTATTTTATTTATTTTATTTTTTTTGGTACTGGGGATCGAACTCCGGTCCTTCCACTTACGAGGCAGGCGCCAGAACCACTGAGCTAAATCCCCGGCCCTGGATAATTTTATTTTTAATATGTTTGAAACCTTAAAGAGCTAACAGGACCACTGAGCTTGAGACACACCCCAGAGAAAAAGAAAGGAGCAAAGAGTAATTAGGGAAATGAAGATAAAGAACAGGTACAATGTACTGGTGCACTCCCCTACCAAACAAACAAACAAACAAGAAACATCTGAGCTGTGTTCAGCAAAATTGAGTTGTACTTAGCAATCTTTCAGAAATTAAAGTAAAACCAGAGGAAAATATGTGATTTTTGGACTTTAACTAGCAGATCTATAATTACAGTATATATTTTTTTAGAATAACAAAAAATATTTTACTAAAACATAAGATTTACAGATGTTTCCAGACAAGCCATACAAAATGGTCACAAGCTTTTTTTGAAAGGGGGAATCTACACTTGACAGCAAAGTCACAATGTTATTAGTGAGGGCTGTGATGTTTGTTAATATTCCCATTTTGGTTCAAACAATCAGCTTGTCCATCTATATCGTCTAAATAAAGTTAAACTTGGCTAGAGAGCATATTCCAGAGAATTGGTTAGCTGCTTTTTAACCAATGCAATTAGATCACCATATAAGGAGGGAAAAGGAGTCCATAAAATTTTGAAACTGCTTTTCCCCTCAAAAAATAAAATAAAGAATACCCATACCCCTGCAGCTAACCCTGACAACTACCTTCATTCCCAGTGCTTTATACTTAAACCATGAGGGGGGAAATGAATAAAAGC